TTTTTTTTTCTTTTAATTATTTTTTTTTTATTTGTAAAAAACCTAAAATAATAATTTTTCCCTTTTAAAAAAAAAAAAAAAAAAAAAAAAAACAGGCACGCACAGGAAACTGTTTTGTAAATGTTGTACTTACATGTATATAATAATTTGTTTCAGATTTTATTCCAATGTTTGGATGTAAATAATCAGTTTTCACTGAGCCCGCTGAAGGTTTTACAGAAAGCATCTTTGATATTATTTTAATCATATGTGTTATGAAATTCAGACATGGTAGGCTTGGAATATTGCTGCACAGATGTATCTGTTTGCATTGACCTCACCCTCTGCAGAGCTAAGGATAGTAGATAGCCAATGAACACAGATGGATTTGCATTTGGCTCCCTTAGAAGATTGTGGAAGTGAACAATTTGATTTACCAGTAATTTAGAGGGGCTGTCCACAATTTGTTTGTAGTGAAATATAATTTAAAGACAATAAAGAAGTGCAAGTGAAAGAAGGTTTTGCTACAGGACCAACATCTGTAAATCACACACACTTTGTTCTATGAGTTCACGGAGCACCACAAGCCAGCCAGCTTTGTAGCCAAGAGAAAGACTTGGTAACTCAGGCGTCCCTCTACATTTTGTTGCATTGCTGCGTAATCTTCTAAACTGTGATTTTCTTTGTCTTCACAATCACCTCGAATGCCTTATGACAAAACATCTTGTAGGCGTAATGTGATGGTAATTGGTCTCTTGGCACAGCCGCACTGTGATCCTATCTGCCACTGAGTTTCTGCTTCAAAGCCAGCTATACGTTACATTTTATTTTATTTTTTTCCACTATTGGTGTTTAGGAAGGAGCTTCATTTTTGAGCACTTTCTTGCATTGGTTGGAATAATTCTACTTGGATGAAGAGTGGCATTGTTTTTCTTTGTCATGACAAATAGAAATCTGAAGTTATATATGCATTCAAGACTTGAACAAAAGAAAATGTACAGTGCTATTTTTTTTATATACACTGGTAATGTTATACAGTACGCAAAAATATGACAAAGGGCATCCAGTAATATTTCCCAATAATGAAAAACAAATAACTTTCTGTTCTGTCAGATATATTTTGTTTTTGTTTGTATTTTATTGGTTTTAGAATGATGTGAAGATGTGAATTCTGAAGATAAAAAGTGATGTTGTGAATTTGTTAAGATTTAAACAGTTTTCCTTGTGAGAGAGGCAGATGAATGAGTCAAAGTAAAGATTTTCCTCTGTTCTTATGCGCAAGCTGAAATTTAGTGAAGTATTGAAATGAAATAAAAGTTCCATTAGCTTAAAAAAGTGGACTTTTTGGTAATTGTTGGGGGGAAAAATAAAACTTCACATATAAATATTGGACCACTTTTCATTTCAAGTGATTTTTTTTTGGTTTTTCAGTCCATATTGTCTGTGTTTGAATGAAGGTGTCAAGTCGTTCCGTGCTGCAGGTGTAACTTTTATTTCTGTCCATCTGTCTGTTAATCTCTGCATGTAAATTTTGGTACGTGTTTTGTGAATGTATTTTTTACGATTTCTCAGTTTGATAAATGGTATTTTTGTTGTTTGTGTGTTTGCAAATAAAAGGAAAATGTTTACTTGCTTTTATTTTGTCTGGGTGTCTGAGTTCTATGTGACCTTGGGTGGACATCATGTTTTTACATTATTTAGTTCACTTGGTAAAATATTTTGATGAATTAAGGAGATAATTGAAAATGCTCAAATTACGTTTAATTTGAATAAATATCACTCTGTGAATACTTTGTATTACTCCGTTTCAATTAATTGTGGCTCTTGTCCCTGTTTGAGCAAGTCAACTCTTGTAACATATATAAAATTAGGACTGCCGATCAAACCTCAAAAATCTGAGCAATATGGATGTTGATGGTTTGCATCCGATTGATATGAACTCTTAGGTTTTTTTTTTGTTGCTTTTTTTGTCAAACTTGGTGTTTTCCATGTAGGTAGTATATTCATCATACTACATTGTGACAAACCTTGTCCAAAATGTTCTCTATAAAGCCTTTCTGGTCCACTTACATTAAATTACACTCAATGTGTGACGTTTCAAAGCCATTGGTTACATTGGATTTATACAAGGGTATCAGAGGGGCTAAGTACAAACTCATGTTATATCTTTTTTTATTTCCTTCCACCTCAAAATCATACTCTGCTTTGTGTTAGCCTATCACAAAAATCCAAAGTAAACACATAGTAGTTTGTGTCTGTAACATGACAAAATCTATAAAGGTTTCAAGAGACAAACACTTTTGCAAGCTGAGTTGTGCTTATAAACAAGCACAGCTTCACCAATGATTAACCAGTGTCAGCTTCCTGTATTTAGAGGCCAATGTGTCTTGCTGTTAAATGTTTCATAGCGAGCTGCACTCCACTTTATAGAGTTTGCACCCATGCAAAAGGGTGCAAGGCAAGTGTTGAAAGCACATTCACCATTTGAGGCTTCGTGTCAAGGTTGAGCCACTCCTGCCTCGTGCTCAACCTTTTCACACTAGATAAAGAGAAATAAAGACAATTACTTTTTTTTTTTTTTTTGCACACACCCAGGTCTCCTGAATGGAAAAACAGCACTGTTGGTAAAGAAAGCCCACAATGAAGCCTTAAGGAGCAGTACGTCTTAATGTCTTTTCAGCTCCCCGGTAGCAGTCCAGGCTATGAATAAAAAGTCTGCTGTGCATTATCAGACTTGCTTCTGTTTTTAGTAAACAAAAGACTACTACTCCCACATATCTTCATTCACATTGTAAAGTGAATGATCACATCTGTGGAGATCCGAGCTCTTTATGCAGCAGCTTTGAAGCTCTTGTCTCGTTGCAAGCTTTAACATGTTAGGAGGAAGGCAAGGTTGGAAACAGAATTCGGGATTTTATGACCAACTGTGTCTTGTTTCCGACCTGGCTCTTCAGTCGCCCCCACTCGTTCTCCCGAGGTTCTGAGACGCCTTTTCTCTCCAGCTGTTCGAGGACTCGTCTGCTTGATGACAGCGAACGGTCGATATCACTCAGAAAAGCCTCCATGTCGGTGTGACAGTATCAGACAAAGCTGTCATTCAGTTCCTGCGACTAATTAGAAAAACCATTTTAGTGACACAAAGGATGAGAATGTTTCATTCAGATACACAATGGAGCTGTGTTTTCAGCGACGGTTGATTGTGAGTTTATTATAATGGCTGAGGCATGCTGACAGGTTGTAGTTGTTAAACAGCCAGATCAATACTGTCATGTCTCCAACTAACACGGAGAATTAATGAAAACCAATAATAAAAATAAAAAAAACATATAGTACTGCTAATCATTTAAATAGAGTTCACTGAGGGGTTTCTCCTGTTAAGTCACAAACGATATTTTTTTATTTTTTAGCATTCTGCAGAACTAACTGCTCTAAAATCACATGCATCCACCACTATAAGCTTTCAACATTTTGTCACATTCTGAACACAAAAGTGATAGATTAATACTAGTGATATATAACTGGTTTACCTCTATAATTGTGATATAGAGGTAAAACAGTGCATGGTTCTCAACAATGTTTTACGAATTAAAAACTGAATTTGAATCCAGCTTCCTTTAATTGGACTAAATAAAATTATGTGCAACAAGTAACTTTCAGATTCACTTGATGACTAAATACAATCCCCTGGAGTGTAATTTCAACTCAGTATGAATACAGATGTTTTCTGAAGGTCTGGTTGGTAGAGGGCATTGATGAATGAACAAATGTTTGCCACAAGTCATACATAAGAAGGTGAAAGAAGGTGGTCTGGTCAGATGAGACCAAAACTACACATATTTGGCCATCATGCAAAAAAAAAAAAGGTGTGTTTCATCCTGAACGCTCGATCTTCACAGTGAATTATGGGAGCAGCAGCATAATGCTGTGGACACACTTGCAGGGGGACAGAAATGCCTAGTCAGAGTCAATAGGAAGGTTGATATCGCTAGACACAGGGGCCTGCACATGACTCATCATCATATATAGCAATATAGAATATAATACGATTAATTTTCCAACTACTATTCTCACAAATAAAGATTTTAACCATAGCTTTTAAATTATTTCATTTTGTGCGGTTGTTTGACATAGCATCTCTTTTATAAAGGTGTGCCTACTCCTGATACACATCTACCTTCTCTTATCAGTAACTGTTATCGGACAATATCAAAAACGCTGAATGTGTTCATGTATTGCATGCACACATGAACATTTAACAAGTATTGGAATAATAGTTGTAACTTTCAATTGCAACTGCATAACTCAAAAAAAGAGTAGGCTTGCAAAATCCGAACTTACTTTTCTGTGACACACACACACACACACCCAAATGCTCTCCCTTAAGCCTTAAGTCACAGACACATCAGAATTGCTTTACAGCTAGGCTTTTATCACTAATTAAACAAGTTTTAGCCATTCAAATGGAGGGTTTTATGTCTCTGGCTGACTTTTCGACAGTCAGGGCAAACAGCACAGCCTGAGGTGAACTTTGCCTTGTTCCACTTTAGAAGTGGATGAGAGAGGGCACAGAAATGGGGAAGCAGAGGTGGGCCCAGCGGTGTTATCTCGCTGCAATCCATCTATGTCAGTACTGTCTCGCTTAATGTGTTGACTCAGGGTCGGACCTCTGTAGCTGAGCAAAAATTGAAAGCTGTGCATTGGAATAAGCTGATAAGAACACTGAAGCTGGCCTTATATGAAGGTGTTTTTCCCCTCTTCTCCCAGGGAACACCTGCGGCTTTATGATACAAAGATGCTTTATTGCTCTCTGCTATCACAAGGAAAACTGAAAGAATAGGTTTCCCCGTCTCACACAGGTCCCAGCTTAGCACTGACGTGCCTGTTTGCATTACAGTCAGCTAAGCAAATAAGTCTTTCCCCTGAAAAATCACGTCAATCACACCTGTCGGCGCCATGCTGCGCTGCTCTTGAAGATCGTCCTCCTTTGTGACAAAAGACACGAGACGATCTACTGACCACCCACCACTTGGCAACCTTTGAGTCACACAAATAAAATGTAGAAATGCCCCTGTGGCTAAAAGCCAACTTTTTAGTTTTCACTTTTCATTTCCAGATGTTTTGGCTTTCCTGCCCACTTTATCTGACCAGCTGAATTGTATTATCTAAATCAACTGAACAAAACAAAACAAAGCATATTCCTGAAATCTACTAACCTAGTATCCCCAAAAATGTACGATGATCTGACACTTCAAACTGTTTATTATTCTGATTGTATGACAGCCATCTGCAAAAACACAGCATTAACCATGGAGTTTGCATGTTCTCCCTGTGCATGCGTGGGTTTTCTCCGGGTACGCCGGTTTCCTCCCACAGTCCAAAAACATGACTATCAGGTTAATTGGCCTCTCCAAATTGCGTATGCATGGTTGTTTGTCTCTCTGTTGCCCTGCACAGACTGGCGACCTGTCCAGGGTGTACCCCACCTCTCGCCCAGAACGATAGCTGGAGATAGGCACCAGCAACCCTCCCGACCCCACTGAGGGACAAGGGTTTAAAGAAAATGGATGGATGGACAATCAATAATTAATCATCACATGGTTTGATACTGAGCATTCATTTAGTCAAAATCCTGAATGTTTAAATGAACAGAAGAGTACAGAAATACCCTTTACTGTATTTATTAAGTTCAATATGCATTTCAGAAACATATTGGATGCGCAAAACAATGCTTAGCAGTCAGTTTGGTTTAATTAAAACAAATTACTATGAGTAATAATCTCATATTTGTGAACTCATAGAAGAAGAGCTCTTGCCTCATTGGCTGCGTGACATCACATAACTCTCTCGTTACATAAAAATTTGCTCCTGATGCCCCCTCTACAGCCCACAGGTGAATTTAACATGCGTTGTTTTGTCAAGACCACCTAAACTGACACCGAGTCAAGACTAAGACTCTGAAGGATGCATACAATTTTAAGACTAAGAGCTAACCAATAAGAGATTATTTTTAAGAGCACTCCTATATATAGAGTCCTGATCACAATTGTAAGACCAGTTGAAAAATGGCAAGAATTCACATTTTTGCACTGTTGGACATTAAGGAGGTTCTAAGTAGAGCTTCAAAATGCAAAATGAAAAAATGGCAGTGAGACCAAAAATGAATCTCAAGTGGTCGATCTCTACTTCACTATTAAGAAGATGACAACAGTGAATGATTCTTTCTCCTTCCTGAGTATGTGAACCTGTACACGGCCGTATGTGTTGGGTTTCAGCGTTAGGTCGGAGCTAATTGGCTCAGTAAATGCTGCATCTTTGTTTATGAGACACATGAGGGAATGGTTTATGGGTGAGATGTTGGAAACTGACTAGGGAGAGAGGGTAGGACACTCTGACCCTTGCAACATATTGCAAGTCTGGACCTCATGCATATGTCGATTTCCTTAATCAGCCTCTTTGAAGCAAAGCACTCTGTGTGATTGCAACACTCCACACAAAATGAACTGCCACCTGCCCTTCACTTGACATTGAACATCCATGTGTTGGAGCTTCATCTATCATAAAGAGGTGTGAGTGAGTTAATTTTCAGAAGAAATTATTCCCCCTCCGTAGAGAGCTGATAAATGGTTGAGAGCAATCTTGACCGCTGTAGTCGCTGTTTATTGAAGATCTCAGCTTGGGCAGGTTCACTAGGTGGCAATGTTCCCTTTTCGTATGGGGTATCATGATGCCTCAGAGTGAAATTATTTAAACCAACGGTCAGAGATTTGTCAGTATTACTCCATCATGTCCATCCTTTCCAGTATGAGAAATTTAAATGCATAAAGTATCCAAAAATATGACTTTTTTTTCACCTCTTCAATGTCTTTCATCTTCAGAATATGGGCACTTCACCTGACATGCTTCGATGAATGAAGGTAAAAATCAACCCAAACATGCACAGCAGAAAGGATCCTGATGTGGAAGATCCAGATTGTTTCAACTAAAACACAAAACTCTGTCAATGGTGAACAAAGTATGTCATTTATAAATCATTAAAAAGTGCTTCAGAAGTGAGAGCAGATGAGTGTGCATGTATTCAGAGGCTAGCAAGTTCCTACACTTTTGATTTTATTGCGCAATTTCTGTGGTTAAAATGTCACATATGGACCAGAACATAAATAAAATGTCCCAACATGTTGGTAAGAAACACATTTCTGGTTGCTGTCAAGTTTCTGGAATGTTTCTGGCTGGACATTTCAGAATTTCTCCCCTTATCATTCAAACCTTGTTCTAGAAGCAGCTAACAGATATAATGTTTTTATGTGGTCTTATGGCCTACCGTTCTTATTCCTGCCTCAGGCAACTACACGTATGATCCAAAAAAAAGCCACTGCTCCTTCTCATTGAGACCAAATTTTTCAATCTTTATCTTCTTGGACAAAAAAAAACAACAACAAAAAAACCTAGAAGTAACTTGGCTTGTCCATGAAGGCAGCTGCAACTTTTAAATGGGTTTAAATGTATTGATTTTGGAGCAACTGCATCTTTCAGGAGCTCTCTCCTTCAATGTTGATTTTTTTAAACTACCTTTACACAGGCACACTTCTGTTCCAGCAGTTTCGCATTTAAGAGAGAACTGAACATTATTCACTCTCAAGTTGTGTTTGGTGATTGTTTGGTTTAGATGGTTAAAAGTTTAACTGAATTTGGTTTACCAAAATGACACATCAAATTAGACTTGAAAGAGACAAATTAAGCATCGAAAATGGTCGAACACTAGCAATGCCTTTCAAGAAGAGTGGCTGAGCAACTAAAAGTGTCTGTAAACTTTACTAGGACTGTATGATTTGAAATTATGCTTGCTGCAGTTCAGTACCAAACTTACCCTCTGCTCCATGAACTGGCGACTCATCTTTTTGACTTTGGGGGAACTTGATTTTATGGATATTTCTTTACTTTTTTACAAGCAACATAGACTCGCCAATATGCTTGTATCCTCTATCTATCTATCTATCTATCTATCTATCTATCTATCTATCTATCTATCTATCTATCTATCTATCTATCTATCTAAAACAAAAATGTTAAAATAATTTTAAAATTTGCATCTCCATAAATTGGAATATCACTGAAAAGTTTATTTATTTCCATACTCAACTAACAAAGTGTAACACACATAAATTATTTGTAGAAAAAAAATATCTAATTTTCCTTAAACTTCACAACCATGTGCTACTTTATCATTTGTAAACTATACAAGTTTCTAATAAAATACAATTGTAATGAGGAATAATTGAACTAATTGAACAGGTATGAGTATGTGGAGTCTCGTTCCTATGGTCACTGAAATAGTGTCATCATCAATTAAACTGTTATATATCATGGTTTACCTGGTAGCACAGTGACGTCTGTACAGTCAAGCAGCATCATGAATTACACGTTTCCTAACGCTCCCTTCAGCACTCTCTACCAGAATATTGCTCAAAGGCCTGCATACAGTTTCTGTGGAAAACATGAGAGCAAGACAGAAACATCTAAGAAAGGAGAGAAAAGACATGTAGACACACACTTAAACACTTGCACCCATATAAAGATATCTGTCTGTAGCTTTCAGTGCTATTGTCCAATAAGACTGAAGGAGTCAGCATGACCCCCTGTAGGATATATAGGACCTGCACTATTGCCTCCTCATACCTTTGAGAGAGAGCCTTTTATCGTCTGAAAGGAGACAACCAAAGCTATGAAGCTTAGTACACAAACCAGTTTACTCAGACCTCTTGAGTGCAAGGAGGAGGCATATTGATTTCCCATTGTTTTTGGCCTGACCAACACACTCCATCACCAGTGAAAGGGCTCCCCGTAGTGCACAATCTCCAAGACCCCTTTGACAACCTATTAAATTACAGAGAAACGTTGAGTCTCTCTTGCTATAAAAAGGACATAAAATAGATAATTGCAAAAAAATACCCTGTTGATCTAATACTCTTATTACAAAAAAAGTTTTTTGTAATAAATCCTGTTTAACCATTTTTTATTAAGGATTAAAATAAACAAAGTTGATAAATGAGTGAATATCCCAGTCAGTGCCAGTGACTCATAACAACTGCTGTTGTAAGCAGTTTTAGCAATCACGTCAACAAAGTACAAGACTATACCACAATTGCATTGTCATAGTTTGAAAGTTTGCAGGAAAATGCCAACTCAACAAAGACTCTCTTGTCACTTTCCCTTGTTAGCAGGCTCTAATTAACTTTCTTTTGCCCTGAGTTAAACTAATATTTACATGTGCATCTATGGCAACTGTCCTTTGTGAGGCTGGCTTTTTTAGTCCCACATTCTTGAGGAGATTGGCATCTTAAAAGGGGATCAGAAAGGTGCAAAAGACAGAATGACCCTCACAGCAACACACTGATTGCTACATCATCGCCTCACAGTTGAGTTCCAATGCAGTATGGGTAAATTTGTACAGTTGTCCACACAGATTAGAACATACAAGCACAGTGGGGGAAAGAGGGTGACTAAGGAAAATTCTTTGTGTGAGTTGCTGTCCGTTTGTGCAAAGAAACACAGCTTTCCCTAAAAACAGACACAGAAAACGAAGAGGTAAAAAAGTGTTGGGGAATACCTGAGCGTGAAGGCAAAACTCCTCCCTGCGTACAGCACACAGTTTAGCTGATTCTTCTTGCAGTATAGACCTTGTCGTTACCTGGGTCCATTCATCTTCTGTCAATCTCTCAGTAGGGGAGGCCACCAAACCCAACTTCTGAGCTACAAACAAAAAGTGTCGAAAAATACATTTATTAATCACATAAGAATGAGACATTATATGTTTCCAGTTGTAGCTTCTCTTGATTGGCACCCTATTAAGTACAAAAAATATAAATGTTCAGTACATTCAGTGTTATGAAAAAAGAATTCCCACCCCTTAAATTTTCTCACATTTTGTCAAATACCACAGAGATACATTGTGGTGTAAAGATTTTAAAGGGATGTGAATGTCATTGACATGAATTGCATAGAGTTGTATCTAGCTAATCTATAAAGCATATAGTTCAATATTTTTACTTTAAACATTGGGCTTAAAGTTTTTGAGGGCCAACATGGCTCTCAAAAACTACATTACAACTAGCATTACAACTACATGAAACCATTAAGCCTTAAACCAAAACCTTTTGGCTACAAATGCAGTCCAAATAGACATTAAAAACGGCATCTAATCCTGTGTTGGTGAACAAGTGTGCGTAGCATTTTATAGACAGGATAGATTCTCAGCATCTTAATTTTGGGTCATTTCATTCGAATCGTTGTCGCGTAAATATACTTTCGAATCTTTTTCACTTAGCACTGTGAAGAGTTAACAGGTGTTTTATATTTAACCAATTAAGCGCAATGAAAACGTCACTGTCTGCAGTTAGTCGCGTCCGACAAAAAACTCAAGTTACTAACAGTTATTTAGAACAAACTTTTATGGAAAGGTAATTAAAAACATAAGATAAAAGCAGCCCCAAACCTTCTGCGTTGCCATATTATCAAAGGTGCTTGAGTGGTTGTTAGGTTACCTGTTGCGCCCCGTGTTGTGGAGGTATTTGGTGTTTTCCTTAAAAAAGCTAAGCCCTACATCGTAATTTAATTTTATCATTTGCTTGCTTGGTGTCTTAAGAGCTTAAACTATATCAAAAAGCATTTTTAAATTCTATTTTTCACAGTATGTTTACTCTGTGTTTTCTATTGAACTAACGAGGCTTGGGCTCTGTGGTTGCCAGGTTACCCATAGCGTCACCGTCACCAAGTTTGACATCACGGCGTCTGATTGGCTGATCTGAAAGGTCAGGGAAAGTAAATTTCATAGAGTTAATATAACAATACTAACACATTTGAAATCTAACTGTTTCTGTCTTTTAACAAACAACAAGAAACCGGTAATGATAACATTTGATATATTGTTATTAATTCTATTTTTTATGCTGGAAATACCATTTTAGAGATGTAAAATTATGCATTCTATTTCATAGACCATTTGCAGTTCTTCACCATGTTTACTAGGTGATTAGATTGTTACACTTAAATAAGAGCATACATTTCATTTTTGCTGCTTTATGATAAAATGGCTGTGCAACACATTCATGCTCTAGGGTAATTAAGTGAATAAGTTTGTCAGAGAATGAAAATAATTATGCAATATTCTGGAATTTTACAGCACATTGTAGTTTTATTTATTGTTTAAATTAAATGCTATATTCTGTGCACATATTTGTGTTGGTGATCTTTTTAAACAGAATTCTGTTCTTTGAAACGAAAAGGGTCTTGTTTTCACTAATGATTATTTTATTGTGTGGGAGTTGTCAGTGATCGGCTGGAACCTGTCTGAAAGAGGGTTAGTTTGTGTGTCCAGGTGACTCACTGAGCTGTCGTCAGAGAATGAGCTGAACAAAGCGAAGTTGCTCATACCTGTGCAGTGAGCTAAGAGATCCCTCCCAGGTTGCCCTTCGATGGAAAACCTTACAGATAAGCATGCAATACAAAATATTTTGTCCCTGATGAAAAGTTAACTTTATTTCTCACATTCAGTTTGGTTGTATGTGTGACTTTAAAAATCCTATGCAGCCTTGACTGACTTTGATGGGATCAGTCTGAATCAGCACAAACGGATAGCTAAGGAGAGCAAGGGCTGTCAATCCCAGAAGTTCTCTAAGAAAACAAAGGGAAGACCTAGTTCTGTGAGAGTAGAAAACTCCAGAGCTTCTCAAGAGGCTGTTGCATTCTTGAGATTAGGGCTAGAAAAACGCAGACCACTGCTGTTAATGCCCCAAACAAAAGGCTGGAGCAATTTATTAGCTAAGAATTGAAGCTCAGGGCTCAATCAAAGGCCTGTGATCCACATTGCCAGACCTGGAGCTTTGGTTTGTTGTTTTAAAGTAAATAATCACGCTTAAAAGATACGGCAAAGATGGGGCTCCAGTCCACCAGAAAGCCCGCATTCTTCCAACTGTCATCAGAATGGATTTTAGGGACGTTGTTTGTCTTTTTGTCTGCGAGTGATGTTTTAAAGAGCTTTTTATTTAACTTTCTTCACCCCTCCACACACACACTTCTTTCTGTTTTCAGTGGTATTTTTGAGAAGACAACTAACTTCAACATGCAAAAACTGATTAATGGAGCAAGAATTTCAAGCTAAATGTGAAAGAGGAAGCTACCTGGCAAATTTGCACAGGATCAGTGCCTTGAAAAAGTATTCACACACTGACGTTTTTAACATGTAAACATGCACCTCAAATTTCATAATATATTAGAGGGATTTTATCTACAGCATAAGTTAAGTGGAATGAAAAGGATGAACATTATTTATGTTTTAAAAAATGTAAACCTTCTTGGAAGAAGCCGCTGTTGAATGGAACTCATAAAAATTCCTGTTTACAATTTGCAATAAGCCATGTGATGGACAAAATAAACATGAAAGAAAGTGCTGTGGTCAGATGAGACAAAAATGTAACTTTTTGGTCCTGTATTTAGCTTTGTGCATCATGCAATCAACTCTGACCAGAGTTGTTCAAACTTCTTCCCCACAGCATGGTGCTGCCACCTCCGTGTCTCACAATAGCGATGAGACAATCAGTATGATGTTTTTTTTTTTGTCACACCGAGATGTTTGCATGCTGAGATCAAAGTTTATTGGCCGATTTATTGGACTATTTGTTATACACAGCTAGATAGAGAGAAATCACATATGACAAAAGGTGGTCCTACAAAGTATTGAAAGTACGCAAATGCACACCAGACTTTTCAGATTTTAGTTGTATTTTTATTTATTTATTTATTTTTAAATAGCCTACATCTCATTTTTGTTCAACTTCAAACTTAGGTAATTCTTAACTCCCAGTACTGAAGTTTGTGATTGCAACATAAAAAAGTGAAATAGTTCAAGGGATGAGAGTAAGGTATGCTTTTGCAAGGTACATGCAAGGTTGATAACTTGTCATGGAAACATCAATGCAAACTCTTAAAAGACTCGTGCTAATAATCACAAATTTACAGCCACGCTGCAGAAAACTGCTATGTGTCCCGACATTATACATTTTCTGTACATTGCATTGTTGTCAAATGAATGATTGCGGTGCGATATAGATGAGAAAGGGCAGCCCATAATGGTTAATTAACAATTATGTCAGCCAGTGAGATGACCAGGAGACCAATCACTTTGATAGAAGACAGTGGAGGGGGAACAGAAATCAAATTATTTTATGACTTGACCGATAATGCTTCCCTAACATGACTTTAATCACTCCATGGTGCACAGGAGTCCCCCATGGCCATCTGGGAGCGGACCAGTTAGGGAAGGACAGCAAGGCTTTACTATCCTGCTGTCATGTCCCGCATCATTGCTGAGTAAGTAAGCTATAAAAGAACACAGCCATCATTACACTCGTTTGGTTGTTTCTTGGAGAGACAGAGCTTCTAATGATTAGACATGTCCTTTGTAAATGAAATACAAATCACCGCAGGCTTTTGGTTTTACTTCATTTACTAAGTGCTACATTACCTCATACTTTGGACCTAACAATGGATTTCCTATAAATCTGCGGGTGGTTGAAATGATAAAGGGGCTCACATATCACTAGATGTGCCAGTGCTTATTAGCACTTGAGAAGTTATTGATCGAAGATTTTGATTAATGTCTGCTTGTGGCATTCAGAGGCCCATTGAAGCTCTCCCTGTTCAGCTGGCTGCTCAATTACCTGCAGTTTGTGCTGACTGCCAGCCTGAGCTCTGGCAATGCTACAGTCACTGCAGTGCCCGGAAAAACAGCAACTCTTCCTGCTTCCAGACTCTTCTGTATTATTTAGGCATAAATATCTCCAAGCAGAAAAGGAGAAAAAAAAAAAAAAACAGAAATGAACATGACGTTTGCGGTGGAGCTCAAGACCAAACTGTGCAAATATGTTGCCCATTTATATGTTCATAAGTTGGGAAATGTTCTTGATGTAGTACAACCAATCACAAAAATGTGGAACCATTATATTTTATTTAATAGATAAACGATCTCGTTCCATCTTACCATAGCAACTTGTAGAGTTAGATTAGCTTTGGAAAGCTGGCACAGCTGTTTGCCCTGCGATAATAAGGGGAGAAAATTGATTTTTTATGTAGTGGTGTACAACGTCTGCATTGATCCGTCCTAAATATTGGCCCATTTTCAGTTCAGTGGTAGAGAAGACTTGTCATAGAATGGTGAAAGGCGAAGCCTAAATAAAGGGAGGAGGTAAGCAACAAGCAAGTGAAAATTAAAAGTTTTGCTTGCAAAAATAACAAATAAAAAATGTACAAAATAAGATCCAGGGGGGGAACTCCAAAATAATACACAAGAAGATTGGCAGGTGGCAGTTACAGAGTCATCTGACTCTGAGTGAGAAAACCAAGTAGTATTCATACAGGGCAGCTTGATTACTAGAATGCTAGATAGGTGAGTGGATGTGCAGACGTGAGACAGCTTGGGAAACACTGAAGGAAGCTACTGGACAGCGAACACAGACACTACATTACAGAATGTGACCTGAAAAGGTTCCCAAGACCTTTGAATGAGAACCGGGCCCATAGTATCACAAATCTGCCACAAGCATGATGAGAATGCTTGTGGTCCATATTTTAGTCACTTACTAGACCAACATGAAATGATTGTTGCTGAAAAGCTAAATCTCATCTCATGTAAACCACAACATTCCAGCCTAAGTCCTTGTAGTGTTTAGAAAACTCCAATTGTTTATGTTTGTGATGGTGGACAGAAAAGGCTTTTTTCTGGCATGCTGCACAAACATCCAGCTTCTACGTAGACAGCATCTAATGGTTGTTATAGAGACTTATTTATTGCAGTTTTAGAAGAGTAACTATTTTCTAGCAAACATTTATGTCTCTTTAAACATAAGCATATTCTCTTGTCTTTCCTATTTGAACATGAATGGCTAAGAACGCAGGTAAATCTGTATCAGGTCAAGTTTATTTGTAACTGTGGACGAAGTCAGAGCAGAAGTCATGGTTCCATCAGGTAGATCAGGTCGTTAAAGTTGTGATGCAGTAAAGCTGCTCCCAACCACTACACTATCACTACCCTGTAAAATATTATTTTACTGTCAGCTTTACACCCGAAGTAATGGGGACACATTAAATGTTCAACCTTTCCCCCAAAAGTTTTGGAGATCACCTTGAAATCTTTTAGACAAATTTGAGATCACCCTTGGCTTCGTTTTGGAAGGCGATGCTTTTAATCTTGTATGCTATTTTTTGCAAGTTAGGTCTGCTGTCATTTTTTTTTTTTTAACCTCTTGAGTGAGTTGTTAATGGATTCCTGGAATAATTTTGGAAGTCTCACCATGGGTAATAGGAATCCTAAGGCCTTAGAAATGGTTTTGTAATCATTTCCAGACTGATAGATTTCAGTAACTTTGTTTTTTTTCATTTGTTTTTGCAGATACGAAAAAAAAAAAACGGAAAAAAATCTTTGAGGGTAAAATACTTTTTTACAACACTGAATTTGTAGTAAGCTATACTTTATGACATTTTCTGAAGTGTCATATCCTTCTTTTGACAATACTGTAAAATCTGAACATTAAATAGACATAATAGATGAACAATGAAAATAAAAATGCAATCAGAGGTAGAATGTCACTGTAATTACCAGGAGTTAAAGGCAAAGAAAGAGTTGAGAATCATTTTCTTAATCATCCCGAAAACAAAAGAACATAATTTTGCTTCAGTTTTGGCTTAGCTCAACAAGCAGAGATGATTTT